TGGGTGTAATTTGGGGGTGGAGAATTTGAGGGTCAATATTGCTCTTGGGGGTGGGTGTAATTTGGGGGGGTGTCAATATTGCTCTGGGGGTGTAATTTAGTGGGGAGCAGAATTTTGGGAGGGGTTAATATTTCCCTGGGGGTGGGGGAATGTAATTTAGGGAGGGGGAGAATTTGGGGGGTAACATTGCCCTGGGGGTGGGTGTAATTTGAGGGGGGAGAATTTTGGGAGGGGTTGGAGGGGTGGAAGAACCAGCCTGGGGGGAGGGTATTTTTTTAGGGGGAGGAGCTGTTTGGCACAAAAGAGAGGGGGGAATTGTCACCCTGGGGGGACCCCATTGTCACCCTGGGGGTGTCACCAGGCCCTGGTGCCATCTTGGTGTCACCACCCTTGGCTGTGCCCCCCCCCCCGGGGTAGCCTTGGTGGCACTGGGGTGACACGTGCCAACCCTGGTGACATCCCCGTGCTGGTGCCACTGTCACCTCCCCAGGGTGTCCTTGGGAAGGACAGGAGGACACTGGCGGGGGGGGGGGACATGCCAGGCATGGCACTGGCAGGGTGACAGCGGGGACACAGAGGGGACACAGAGGGGACACACTGGGGTGGGTCCCAGTGGTGGCACTGGCAGGGTGACAGTGGGGACACAGAGGGGACACAGAGGGGCACACTGGGATGGGTCCCAGTGGTGGCACTGGCAGGGTGACAGCAGAGGTGGGTGACAGTGGGGACAGGTGACACAGAGGGGACACACTGGGGTGGGTCCCAGCAGTGGCACTGGCAGGGTGACAGCAGAGGTGGGTGACAGTGGGGACACAGAGGGGACACAGAGGGGCACACTGGGGTGGGTCCCAGTGGTGGCACTGGCAGGGTGACAGTGGGGACAGGTGACACAGAGGGGCACACTGGGGTGGGTCCCAGTGGTGGCACTGGTGCCAGTAGGTGACAACGGGGACAAGTGGCAGCAGGGATGGGTGACAGTGGGGACAGGTGACACAGAGGGGCACACTGGGGCAGGTCCCAGCGGTGGCACTGGTGCCTGTAGGTGACAACGGGGACAAGTGGCAGCAGGGATGGGTGACAGTGGGGACAGGTGACACAGAGGGGCACACTGGGGCGGGTCCCAGTGGTGGCACTGGCAGGGTGACAGCAGAGGTGGATGACAGGTGACACAGAGGGGACACACTGGGGCGGGTCCCAGTGGTGGCACCGGTGCCAGTAGGTGACAATGGGGACAAGTGGCAGCAGGGATGGGTGACAGTGGGGACAGGTGACACAGAGGGGACATACTGGGGCAGGTCCCAGTGGTGGCACTGGCAGGGTGACAGCAGAGGTGGGTGACAGTGGGGACAGGTGACACAGAGGGGACACACTGAGGCAGGGGTGACAGTGGGGACAGGTGACACAGAGGGGCACACTGGGGTGGGTCCCAGTGGTGGCACTGGCAGGGTGACAGTGGGGACAGGTGACACAGAGGGGACACGCTGGGGCAGGGGTGACAGTGGGGACAGGTGACACAGAGGGGACACGCTGGGGCGGGTCCCAGCAGTGGCACTGGCAGGGTGACAGTGGGGACAGGTGACACAGAGGGGACACACTGGGGCGGGTCCCAGTGGTGGCACTGGCAGGGTGACAGTGGGGACAGGTGACACAGAGGGGACACACTGGGGCGGGTCCCAGTGGTGGCACTGGCAGGGTGACAGTGGGGACAGGTGACACAGAGGGGACACGCTGGGGCGGGTCCCAGTGGTGGCACTGGCAGGGTGACAGTGGGGACAGGTGACACAGAGGGACACGCTGGGGCGGGTCCCAGTGGTGGCACTGGCAGGGTGACAGTGGGGACAGGTGACACAGAGGGGACACACTGGGGCGGGTCCCAGTGGTGGCCCTGCTGCTCAGGGACCCAGCAGGTGACAACGGGGACAAGTGACAGCGGGAACGGGTGACACAGGGGGGGACGTGCCAGGGCTGGCATTGGCACTGGGGGATCTGGGAGGGTGGCAGGGGGGACATGAGGGGGACACAGGTGACACCCTGGGGCTGGCATTGGCACTGGGGGATCTGGGAGGGTGGCAGGGGGGACATGAGGGGGACACAGGTGACACCCTGGGGGTGGCATTGGCACTGGGGGACCTGGCAGGGTGACGGGGGGTCGTGAGGGGGACACAGGTGACACCCTGGGGGTGGCATTGGCACTGGGGACCTGGCAGGGTGACAGGGGGACATGAGGGGGACACAGGTGACACCCTGGGGGTGGCATTGGCACTGGGGGACCTGGCAGGGTGACGGGGGGGACATGAGGGGGACACAGGTGACACCCTGGGAGTGGCATTGGCACTGGGGGACCTGGCAGGGTGACAGGGGGGACATGAGGGGGACACAGGTGACACCCTGGGGGTGGCACCGGTGAGGTGACAGCAGGGACGGGTGGCACAGGGAGGGGACACAGTGGGGTTGGCCCCGGTGGTGGCACTGGCAGGGTGGCAGTGGTGGCAGGTGACATGGGGAGGGGACACCGGCCCCGTGGTGGCCCCAGGACCTGGCAGGGTGACAGCAGGGCCTGGTGACAGCGGTGACAAGTGACAGCAGGGACGGGTGACAGCGCCTGGTGGCCTCAGCCCGGTGACAGGACCTGTGGCAACAGGACAGTTCCTGCCACCCCTTCCTGTCCCCGAGGGGGAAGTGACACCCAAGTCCCCAAGTTGGGGGGGAGGGGACACCACAAGATCCTCTGTGGCCACTCAGTGTCCCCCAGGGCCTTGGGGACACCTTGGGGACACCTTGGGGACACCTTGGGGACAACGCTGTCCCCGAGGCAGCCCCACCCCGGGCAGGGTTTTACCCCTTGTGGGGTGTCCCTGGGTGTCCCCAGTCCCTCGGTGCCACCCTGTGTCCCCATGTCACAAGTTTTGTCCCTTTTTGTCCCTTTTGTCCCCATCTTGGCAGGACCTTGGATGGGCAGAGCCCCCCCCGGCCATGGGGCAGAGCGAGTCGGAGCCGCAGGACGAGGCCGAGGTGGGACCTGGCCCTGTCCCCTCAGTGTCCCCACCCCCTGGGCTGTGCTGTCCCTTGTCCCCACCCCTGGGGGACACCAGGGGGGGCTCAGCTGTCCCTTGTCCCCCCCCCCACAGGACGGGCCCCTGAGGGCGGTGCTGCCGCGGTTCTTGACCGACCGGCTCCCGACCAGCGTGGTGAGGGGACAATGTCCCTGTGTCCCCGTGTCCCCAGTGTCCTCATGTCCCTGTGTCCCCTTGTGCCTGTGTCCCCAATGTTCCCAGTATCCTCATGTCCCAGTGTCCCCATGTCCCTGTGTCCCCATGTTCCCAGTATCCTCATGTCCCCTTGTACCTGTGTCCCAGTGTCCCCCTGATCCCCTGTCCCTGTGTCTCCATGTCCTTGTGTACCCATGTCCCTGTGTCCCCCTGTCCCCAGTATCTTCATGTCCCCTTGTCCCTCTGTGCCCGTGTCCTTATGTCTCCAGTGTCCTCATGTCCCTGTGTCCCCATGTCCCCAGTGTTCTCATGTCCCCTTGTGCCTGTGTCCCCTTGTAGCCATGTCCCCATGTCCTCATGTCCCAGTGTCCTCATGTCCCTGTGTCCCTGTGTCCCCAGTGTCCTCATGTCCCCTTGTGCCTGTGCCCCAGTGTCCCCATGATCCCCTATCCCCATGTCTCTCTGTCGCTGTGTCCCCGTCCCTGTGTCCCTATGTCCCCAGTATCCTCATGTCCCCATGTCCCTGTGTCCCCATGTCCTCATGTCCCAGTGTCCTCATGTCCCTGTGTCCCCTTGTCCCCATGTCCCCAGTGTCCTCATGTCCCCTTGTCCCTGTGTCCCAGTGTCCCCATGATCCCCTGTCCCTATGTCTCCATGTCCCTGTATCCCCATGTCCCTGTGTCCCTTTGTTCCCATGTCCCCAGTATCCTCGTGTCCCCTTGTCCTCATGTTCCCGTGTCCCCTTTTCCCCGTGTCCCCTTTTCCCCTTGTCCCCGTGTCCCCATGTCCCTGTGTCCCCATGTCCCCATGTCCATGTCCCTGTGTCCTCGTGTCTCTTTGTCCGCGTGTCTTCATGTCCCTGTGTCCCCATGTCCTCATGTCCCCATGTCCTCATGTCCTGATGTCCTCATGTCCCCATGTCATGTCCCCATGACCCCTTGTCCCTGTGTCCCAGTGTCCCCATGGTCCCCTGTCCTTGTGTCTCCATGTCCCTGCACCCCCATGTCCTTGTGTGCCTCTGTCACCATAACCCCAAGTTTCTGTGTCCCCATGTCCCTGTGTCCCTATGTCACCATGTCCCCATGTCCCTGTGTCCTTATATCCCCGTGTCACCAGTGACAGTGTCCCCAGGGACAGTGTCCCCTTGCTTCTTTGTCCCCAGTGTCCCCACATCCGACTCGGCATGGTGAGCCCAGGGACAATGTCCCCACATCCCCATGTCCCTGTGTCCCCTTGTCCTCATGTCCCTGTGTCCCCATGTCCCTGTGTCCCCTTGTCTCCATGTCCCCGTGTCCTCATGTCCCCGTGTCCCCACATCCCCATGTCCCTGTGTCCCCTTGTCCCCATGTCCCAGTGTCCTCCTGTCCCCAGTGCCACTCAGCACCCCCTAAGGTGGCACAAAAGTGTCCCCATGTCCTTGGGGACAGTGTCCCCATGCCCCCAGTGCCACCCAGCACCCCCTAAAGTGGCACAAAAGTGTCCCCCTGTCCCCAGTGGTACTCAGCACCCCCTGAAGTGGCACAAAAGTGTCCCCATGTCCTTGGGGACAGTGTCCCCCTGCCCCCAGTGGTGCTCAGCACCCCCTGAGGTGACCCAAAAGTGTCCCCTGGGGACATGTCCTGGTCCTTGACCCCGCCCAGCCCCTCCCCTCGGCGGCTGTGCCATCTGTCACTACCCCCCACTCTCATCCCTGTCCCCTGGGGACCTTGAGGACCTCGTGGGGACCTTGGGGACCCCGTGGGGACCTTGGGGACCGCATGGGGACCCCCCCTTTGTCCCTGCACAGGTGCTGGGGGCCCTCCTCGGCCTCGGCCTCACCGTTGTCGTGGTGGTCACGGCCGTGGTGGCCTTGCTGCACCGGCTGCGCCTTAAGAGTGAGTGACACGGCCCCGGTGGCCTCGGGGACGGGGAGGGGAAGGGAAAAGGGGGGGTGGTGACAGAGCCACAACCCCCTCAGCCCCTGTCCCTTGCCTGTCCCCAGAGGTGCCCGCCCAGGAGACCCCCCGGTACCGGTTCCGCAAGAGGGACAAGATGCTCTTCTACGGCCGCAAGATCATGCGCAAGGTGACCCTCAGAGGGGCACCCAGGGGGTGGTGGCACCCATAGGGGGGTGGTGGCACCCATGGGGGGGTGGTGGCATCGCTGTGACACCCTGAGATGTCGTCCCCCCGCCCCCAGGTGTCCCAGTCCACGTCGTCCCTGGTGGACACCACCATCTCCAGCACCTCCCGGCCCCGCATGAAGAAGAAGCTGAAGATGCTCAACATTGCCAAAAAGTGAGGGGGGGCCGGGTTGGGATCCGTCCCTGGGGGGGTTAAGGGGGTGCTGGGGGTCAGGGTCCGTCCCTGCAGAGTCAGGATCCATCCCTGGAGAGTCAGGATCCATCCCTGGAGAGTCAGGATCCATCCCTGGGGGGTCAGGATGTATCCTGGGGGGTCAGGATCCATCTGTAGGGGGTCAGGGTCCATCCCTGGAGAGTCAGGATCTGTATCTGGAGGGTCAGGATCCATCTCTGGGGGGTCAGGGGGTGCTGGGGGTCAGGGTCCATCTCTGGAGGCTCAGGATCCATCCCTGGGAGGTCAGGGGGTGCTGGGGATCAGGATCCATCCCTGGGAGGTCAGGGGGTGCTGGGGATCAGGATCCATCTCTGGGGGGTCAGGATCTATCTTGGGGATATTCAGGATCCATCCCGGGGGGGTCAGGATCCATCTCCGGGGGGTCAGGATCCATCTCTGGGGGGTCAGGATCCATCCCTGGGAGGTCAGGATCCATTCCTTGGGGTCAGGATCCATCCCTGGGGGATCAGGATCCATCCCTGGGGGGTCAGGATCCATCTCTGGGGGGTCAGGATGTATCCCTGGGGGGTCAGGATCCATCCTTGGGGGTCAGGATCCATCCCTGGGGATTCAGAATCCATCCCTGGGGATTCAGGATCCATCCTTAGGGGTCAGGATCCATCCTTAGGGGTCAGGATCCCTGGAGGGGGTGGTGGTGGCAGGGCCCTGGGTGCCCACAGCGGTGTCCCCCCGGTGTCCCCAAGGCTGCTGCGCATCCGGAAGGAGCAGCCGACGCTGCAGCTGAAGGAGCCGCCGCCGGCGGTGCTCGAGGCCGACCTGACCGAGTTCGACGTGGCCAACTCACACCTGCCCTCCGAGGTGCTCTACATGCTCAAGAACGTCAGGTCAGCAGAGGGGTCCGGCCCTGGGATTGGGATCTGGCCCTGGGAGCGGGGTCCGGCCCTGGGAGCGGGGTCCGGCCCTGGGAGCGGGGTCTGGCCCTGGGATCAGGATCCAGCCCTGGGATTGGGGTCCGGCCATGGGATTGGGGTCCGGCCCTGGCATTGGGATCCGACCCTGGGATTGGGATCTGGCCCTGGGATCGGGGTCTGGCCCTGGGATTGGGGTCCGGCCCTGGCATTGGAGTCCGGCCCTGGGATTGGGATCCGGCCCTGGGATCGGGATCCGACCCTGGGACTGGGAGCCAGCCCTGGGATCGGGGTCCGGCCCTGGCATCGGGATCCGGCCCTGGGATTAGGATCTGACCCTGGGAGCGGGATCTGGCCCCTGGGAGCGGGATCCGGCCCTGGGAGCGGGGTCCGGCCCTGGGAGCAGGATCTGGCCCTGGCATTGGGATCCGACCCTGGGATTGGGATCCGGCCCTGGCATCGGGGTCAGACCCTGGGATCGGGGTCCGGCCCTGGGAGCAGGATCCGGCCCTGGGATTGAGGTCCGGCCCTGGGATTGGGGTCCGGCCCTGGCATCGGGGTCCGGCCCTGGGATCGGGGTCCGGCCCTGGGATCGGGATCTGGCCCTGGCATTGGGATCTGGCCCTGGGATCGGGGTCCGGCCCTGGGAGCGGGATCCGGCCCTGGGAGCGGGATCCAGCTCTGGCATCGGGGTCTGGACCTGGGATTGGGGTCCGGCCCTGGGATCGGGATCCGGCCCTGGGATCGGGGTCCGGCCCTGGGATCGGGATCCGACCCTGGGAGCGAGACCCAGCCCTGGCATCGGGATCCGGCCCTGGCATCGGGATCCGGCCCCTGGGATCGGGATCCAGCCCTGGGATTGGGATCCGGCCCCTGGGATCGGGGTCTGGCCCTGGGATCAGGATCCGGCCCTGGGATTGGGGTCCGGCCCTGGGATTGGGGTCCGGCCCTGGGATCGGGGTCCGTCCCTGGGATCGGGGTCCAGCCCTGGGATTGGGATCCGGCCCTGGGATTGGGATCCGGCCCTGGGATCGGGGTCCAGCCCTGGGACTGGGAGCCAGCCCTGGGATCGGGGTCCGACCCTGGGAGCGGGATCCGACCCTGGCATCGGGGTCCGGCCCTGGGATCGGGATCCGGCCCTGGGATTAGGATCTGACCCTGGGAGCGGGATCCGGCCCTGGGAGCGGGGTCCGGCCCTGGGAGCAGGATCTGGCCCTGGCATTGGGATCCGACCCTGGGATTGGGATCCGGCCCTGGGATTGGGATCCGGCCCTGGCATCGGGATCCGGCCCTGGCATCGGGATCCGGCCCTGGCATCGGGATCCGGCCCTGGGATTGGGATCTGACCCTGGGATCAGGATCCAATCCTGGAGGTCAGGATCAAGGTTCAGCGTCAGGATCCATCCAGGGGGGATCAAATCCATCCCTGGGGTTCAGGATCCACCCCAGGGATCAGGATCCATCCCTGGAGGTCAAGATCAGGGTTCAGGGTCAGGATCCATCCCTAGAGCTCAGGACCAGGATTCAGGGTCAGGATCCATCCAGGGGGAATCAAATCCATCCCTAAGGTTCAGGATCCATCTGAGGGTTCAGGATCCATCCCTTGGGGGTCAGAATCTATGCCAGCAGGTCAGAATCCATCCTAGCAGGTCGGGATCAGGGTTCAGGGTCAGGATCCATTCTGAGGGGGATCAAATCCATCCCTGGGGACCAGAATTCCACCCGAGGGATCAGGATCCATTCTTGGAGATCACGACCAGGGTTCAGGGTCAGGATCCATCCCTGGGGTCAGGATCAGGGTTCAGGGTCAGGATCCATCCCTGGAGGTTGGGACCAGGGTTCAGGGTCAGGATCCATCCCTGGGGTCAGGATCAGGGTTCAGAGTCAGGATCCATTCTGAGGGGAATCAAATCCATCCCTGGGGACCAGAATTCCACCCAAGGGATCAGGATCCGTTCTTGGAGATCAGGACCAGGGTTCAGGGTCAGGATCCATCCAGGGGGGATCAAATCCATCCCTGCGGTTCAGGATCCATCCCAGGGATCAGGATCCATCTCTGGAGGTCAGGATCAAGGTTCAGGGTCAGGATCCATCCTGGGGGGATCAAATCTATCCCTGGGGTTCAGGATCCATCCCTGGGGTCAGGATCCATCCCTTGGGGGTCAGGATCTATGCCAGCAGGTCAGAATCCATCCTAGCAGGTCAGGATCAGGATTCAGAGTCAAGATCCATTCTGGGGGGGATCAAATCCATCCCTGGGCACCAGAATTCCACCCCAGGGATCAGGGTCCATCCCTGGAGGTCAGGGCCAGGGTTCAGGGTCAGGATCCATCCCTGGAGGTCAAGATCAGGGTTCGGGTTCAGGGTCAGGATCCATCCTGGGGTCAGGGTCAGGATCCATTCTGGGGGAAATCAAATCCATCCCTGGGCACCAGAATTCCACCCCAGGGATCAGGATCCATCCCTGGAGGTCAGGACCAGGATTCAGGGTCAGGATCAATCCTGGGGAGATCAAATCCATCCCTGGGGTTCAGGATCCACCTGAGGGATCAGGATCCATCCCTGGGATCAGGACCAGGGTACAGGGTCAGGATCCATCCCTGGGGTAAGGACCAGGGTTCAGGGTCAGGATCCATCCCTGGGGTCAGGATCAGGGTTCAGGGTCAGGATCCATCCTGGGGGGATCAAATCCATCCCTGGGGTTCAGGATCCACCCGAGGGACCAGCATCCTCCTCCTTGGACACCATTTCCAAGCAGTGTTTTGGGTCCCTGCTCCATGGGCTGCTCCTCTCCCGCCTCCCCCCGTCCGTGGCCACCAGCAGGGGTGGCCCTGGGCTCGGTGTCACCCTCTGTCCCCTGCAGGGTGCTGGGGCACTTCGAGAAGCCGCTGTTCCTGGAACTGTGCAAGCACATGGTGTTCCAGCAGTGCCAGCAGGGAGACTACGTGTTCCGGCCCGGCCAGCCCGACACCAGCATCTACGTCCTGCAGGACGGCAAGCTCGAGCTGCTGCTCACCGAGCCGGTGAGGGGACACCTGGGGACAGCCAGGGACAGCCTGGGGACACTTGGGGATAGGCTGGGATATCCTGGGGACACTTGGGGATAGGCAGGGATAGCCGGGGACAGCCAGGACGGCAAGCTCGAGCTGCTGCTCACCGAGCCGGTGAGGGGACAACTAGGGGATAGCCAGGGATAGCCTGGGGATAGACAGGGATAGCCAGGGATAGCCTGGGGATAGCCAGGGATAGCCTGGGGATAGCCAGGGATAGCCAGGGATAACCTGGGGATAGCCTGGGGATAGCCAGGGATAGCCAGGGATAACCTGGGGATAGCCTGGGGATAGACAGGGATAGCCAGGGATAACCTGGGGATAGGCAGGGATAGCCAGGGATAGCCTGGGGATAGCCAGGGATAGCCTGGGGACAGCCAGGGATAACCTGGGGATAGCCAGGGACAGCCTGGGGATAGCCAGGGACAGCCTGGGGATAGGCAGGGATAGTCTAGGGATAGGCAGGGATTGCCTAAGGATAGGCAGGGATAGCCTGGGGATAGCCAGGGATAGCCTGGGGATAGGCAGGGATAGCCTAAGGATAGGCAGGGATAGCCAGGGATAGGCAGGGATAGCCAGGGATAGGCAGGGATAGCCAGGGATAGGCAGGGATAGCCTGGGGACACTTGGGGATAGGCAGGGATAGCCAGGGACAGCCAGGACGGCAAGCTCGAGCTGCTGCTCACCGAGCCGGTGAGGGGACACCTGGGGATAGCCAGGGATAGCCTGGGGATAGCCTGGGGATAGCCAGGGAGAGCCAGGGATAGCAAGGGGATAGCCAGGGATAGCCAGGGATAGCCAGGGATAGCCTGGGGACAGCCAGGGATAGCCTGGGGACAGCCAGGGATAGCCTGGGGACAGCCAGGGATAGCCTGGGGATAGCCAGGGATAGCCTGGGGTTAGGCAGGGATAGCCTGGGGATAGCCAGGGATAGCCAGGGATAGCCTGGGGATAGGCAGGGATAGCCTGGGGATAGCCAGGGATAGCCTGGGGTTAGGCAGGGATAGCCTGGGGATAGGCAGGGAGAGCCAGGGATAGCCTGGGGACACCTGGGGATAGCCAGGGATAGCCTGGGGATAGCCAGAGACACACAGGGGACAACTGGAGATAGCCAGGGGACACCAGGGGATTGCCAGGGACATCCCAGGGACAGCCAGGATGGCAAGCTCGAGCTGCTGCTCACTGAGCTGGTGAGGGGACAGCCTGGGGATAGCCAGGGACAGCCAGGGGACAGCTGAGGATAGTCAGGGATAGCTTGGGGATAGCCAGGGACATCCCAGGGACAACCAGGGACAGCTGGGGACACCTGGGCATACTCAGGGACACCCAGGGGACATCCAGGGACACCCAGGGGACATCCAGGGACATCCCAGGAACACCCAGGGGGTATCTGGGGACACCTAAGGGACAGTGAGGGACACCCAGGGGACAGGGACATGCTGGGAACAGGGATGGGATGGGGACCCCAGGGGTGGAAGGATGGACGGGATCTGTGCTCGGCAGGACGGGAAGGAGACGGTGATGAAGGAGGTGTTCCCTGGGGACAGCGTCCACAGCCTGCTCAGCATCCTCGACGTCATCACGGTACCGGTGCTGTCCCCAAACCCACCCGGTCCAAGCAGGACCATCCCCAAACCAACCAGGACTGTCCCCAAACCCAACTGTGTCCGTCCCCAAACCAACCAGGACTGACCCCAAACCAACCATGGCCATCCCCAAACCCAGCTGTGACCTTCCCAAACCAACCAGGACTGTCCCCAAACCAACCAGGACTGTCCCCAAACCAACCATGGCCATCCCCAAACCAACCAGGACTGACCCCAACCCCAGCTGTGACCGTCCCCAAACCAACCAGGACTGTCCCCAAACCCAACCATGGCCATCCTCAAACCCAACTGTGACCATGACCATCCCAACCATGGCCATCCCCAAACCCCTCCAGCCCAACCACGACCGTCCCCAAACCCAACCATGGCCACCCCCAAACCATCCATGACCACCCCCAAACCATCCATGACCACCCCCAAACCATCCATGACCACCCCAAACCCAACCATGGTCACCCCCAAACCATCCATGGCCACCCCCAAACCATCCATGACCACCCCCAAACCCAACCATGACCATCCCCAAACCCCTCCAGCCCAACCAGTGGCCATCCCCAAACCCAACCATGGTCATCCCCAAACCCAACCATGGCCACCTCCAAACCATCCATGACCACCCCCAAACCCAACCATGGTCATCCCCAAATCCAACCATGACCACCCCCAAACCATCCATGACCACCCCCAAACCATCCATGACCACCCCCAAACCCATCCATGACCACCCCAAACCCAACCATGGCCATCCCCAAACCCAACCATGGCCACCTCCAAACCATCCATGACCACCCCAAACCCAACCATGGCCACCCCCAAACCCATCCATGACCACCCCAAACCATCCATGACCACCCCCAAACCCATCCATGACCACCCCAAACCCAACCATGGCCATCCCCAAACCCAACCATGGCCACCCCCAAACCCATCCATGACCACCCCAAACCCAACCATGGCCACCCCCAAACCCATCCATGACCACCCCAAACCATCCATGACCACCCCCAAACCCATCCATGACCACCTCCAAACCCAACCATGGCCATCCCCAAACTCCAACCATGGCCACCCCCAAACCCATCCATGACCACCCCAAACCCAACCATGGCCACCCCCAAACCATCCATGACTACCCCAAACCCAACCGATGTCCATCCCCAACCCCAACTGTGACCACCCTGGGACTTCCCCACCTCCCAGCTGCCCCCCAAACCCCCTCCCCGTGCCGGGCAGGGCCATCCCCCCAGATCAGGCCGTGTCCCTCAGGGCCACCAGCGGCCGTACCGCACGGTGAGCGCCCGCGCGGCCGAGGACTCCACCATCCTGCGCCTGCCCGTCGAGGCCTTCTCTGCCATCTTCGAGAAGTACCCCGAGAGCCTGGTGCGGGTGGTGCAGGTGAGGTCGGGGCTGGGGGGATGGCAGGGATGTCCCCTGGGGTGACAGGGGGGTCACTTTTTGTCCCCCTTTCCCCTTTCAGATCATCATGGTGCGCCTGCAGCGTGTCACCTTCCTGGCCTTGCACAACTACCTGGGCTTGACCAACGAGCTCTTCAGCCACGTGAGTCCCACCAGGGGTGGGGGTGGTGGGGAAATCAGGACAAAATTGGTATAGAAAGAATAATTTCCTTCCCAAATTGCTCTCCTGGGAGAGCAGTTAACGGAGGATCGGGTTGAAATTGGGTTGAAATGCAAGGAATTACAGAGGTGGGGTTTGAGCCCCCGTTGTCCCCCCTGGGTTTTAGTGGTTGGCAAAGTGGGAACGTTCCTACAGAAATAGTTAATAAATTGGTAAGTGAATAGTTAGTAAGTTAATAATAGTTAATAAAATAAGAGTTGTGTAAATGTTTGTGTGATAAACGTGTAATAAATAAGAAGGGTTTCTGTAAAATGGGTTATTTATGAGTAAAAGCGATCACACAGAAGGTCTTAATCAGGATTAATCACAAAAATAAAACTGCCAGTAGCGTAGTATTAGAGCAGGATAGTTGACTGTATTGAAGTAATTGTATTAAATAATATATAATTTATATATAATTTTATAAGTTTATCATTATGTATGTTATGTATGTTATAGATTGTATGTATTGATTATATGCTATATATGAAATCTTAAAGGTTATCATTTGGACATGACCTCATTGCCCCAAAAAATGTCCTTCCCATCGTCCCACCCTCACCACACCTCCCCAAATTTGAGTGGTGGTGGGGGGGGGGTCCCAAAACCACCACCTCCTTTCCTCCCCACCTTCATCACCCTCATCATCCCTGCCCTTCTTGGAAAGCCTTCAAGGCTTCCCAGGAGTTTTGACCTGGGCATATCAACAATTGTCCCTCACTCCAAGCACATTTTCACCCTTGGGACGTTCTCCCACCTCGTTAAAATCTTTGGGATTTGTGGGCGAGAAACCTTGAAGAAAATTTTAGGGACCTGACAACAAAGGTGCTGAAAGAAAGAGCCGGGCTGGGATTTTGATGGGATGTAATTTTATATCGTGACATGTCGTAGCATGCAGAGTTTAAGGGCATCATCTCCTTCCATCTGCTCTCCATTTACAGGACATGCAGCCCCTGAAGCTCTTCCCCCAGCCCGGCCACGCCGCCCGCACCAGCCCCGTCCGGCACAGCAAGAGGGGCCTGGGCAGCACCGACGAGGGCCGGGAGCAGGGTAAGGCTGCCAAGGAGGGGTGCTGGGACCCTCCCCCTGGGCTTTTGGGGGGCTGGGAGAGGGGGGGGCTCTGCTGCTCCCTCGGTGCTCAGAGTTGGGGGGGTTTTATCGTCCAGCTGAGCTGCTGAAAAGTGCAGGACTGGAGACCCCGGTGGTGCCGCCGCCGCCCCCCCTGAGCCGCTGCATCTCCATGCCCGTGGATATCTCCGGTGGGTTTGGGGTTGTGTAGCTCAGGGGATCGATGGGGACACCCAGGGGACATCCAGTGACACCCAGGGACACCCAGGGGACACCCAGGGGGCAGGCAGGGACATGCAGGGGGCACCCAGGGCAGCCCCCCCTGAGCCAGTGCATCTCCATGCCCGTGGATATCTCCGGTGGGTTTGGGGGTGGGAATGGGGTGTGTAGCTCAGGGGATAGATGGGGCCACCCAGGGGACATCCAGTGACACCCAGGGGACACCCAGGGGACAGGCAGGGACATCCAGGGGGCACCCAGGGCAGCCGCCCTTGAGCCGCTGCATCTCCATGCCTGTGGATATCTCCGGTGGGTTTGGGGGTGGGAATGGGGTGTGTAGCTCTGGGGATCGATGGGGACACCCAGGGGACATCTAGGGGACATCCAATGACATCCAGGGGGCAGGCAGGAACATGCAAGGGGCACCCAGGGCAGCCCACCCTGAGCCGCTGCATCTCCATGCCCGTGGATATCTCTGGTGGGTTTGGGGATGGGAACGGGGGTTTTGGGGGTGTGTAGCTTAGGGGATAGATGGGGACACCCAGGGGACACCCAGGGGACACCCAGGGACACCCAGGGGACACCCAGGGACACCCAGGGCAGCCCCCTGAGCCGCTGCATCTCCATACCCGTGGACATCTCCGGTGGGCTTGGGGGTGGGAACGGGGGGTTTGGGGCTGTGTAGCTTAGGGGATAGATGGGGACACCCAGGGGACATCCAGTGACACCCAGGGGACACCCAGGGGGCAGGCAGGGACATGCAAAAGACACCCAGGGCAACCACCCCTGAGCCGCTGCATCTCCGTGCCTGTGGATATCTCTGGTGGGTTTGGGGGTGGGAACGGGGGGTTTGGGGGTGTGTAGCTCAGGGGATAGATGGGGACACCTAGGGGACACCTGGGGACATCCAGTGACACCCAGGGTCACCCAAGGACAGCTGGGGATCCAGAGGGACACCCCAGGACACCTAAGGGACACCCAGGGCACACTCAAGGGGACATCCAGGGACAGTGGGGTCATCCAGGGACCTACAGGGGACACCTGAGGGCACCCAGGGGACACGCAGTGGACACCCCAGGGGACACTCAGTGGACACCCCAGGGGACACTCAGGGGACACCCAGGGATACCCCAGGGACACTTGGGGACACCCAGGGGACACTGGGGGTGTCCTGTCCCCGTGTTGGACGCAGTGGCCCCGTCAATCTCCCCCCCAGGCATCCAGAGGGGTCCCCGCTCCGACTTCGACATGGCCTACGAGCGCGGCCGCATCTCGGTGTCGCTGCAGGACGACAGCACGGGGGGCATGGCCGGCTTCGCTCGGGTATGGCGGCTGGGGGGGGCTCAATCCCACCCAAATCCCTCCCCAAATCCCTCCTGAATCCCATCTGAATCCCACCCCAAATCCCACCTGAATCCCATCTGAATCCCACCCCAAATCCCACCTGAATGCCACCCTGAATCCCACCCCAAATCCTACCTGAATCCTACCCCAAATCCTACCTGAATTCCACCCCGAATCCTACCTGAATCCCACCCCAAATTCCACCTGAATCCCACCTAAATCACACCCCAAATTCCACCTGAATCACACCCCAAATCCTACCCTAAATCACACCCGAAATCTCACCCCGAATCACACCCTGAATCCTACCCACACATCCAACCTAAATCACACCCCGAATCCTACCCAAAATCCCACCCGAATCCCACCCCCAAATCCCATCAAAATCCCACCTGAATCCTACCCCAAACCCCTGAATCCCCCCAAACCCCCTGAATCCCCCAAACACCCTGAAACCTCCCTGAATCCCCCAAACGCCCCTCAAACCCCCTGAATTCCCCCAAACCCCCTGAACTCCCCAAACCCCCTGAATCCCTCCAAATGTCCCCAAACACCCCCAAACTCCCTGAATTCCCCTAAATTCTCCCAACCCTTCCTGAATCCCCCAAACCCCCTCAATCCCCCAAGCCCTCCTGAACCTCCCAAATCCCCTAAGCCCCCTGAATCCCCCCAAACCCCTTGAGATCCCCCAAACCCCCTGAATCCCCCAAACCCCCTGAATCCCCCAAACGCCCCCAAACCTCCTGAATCCCCCAAACCCCCTCAATCCCCCAAACAGCCCCCAAACCCCTGTAGAATCCCCCAAACCCCTGAATCCCACCAAACACCCTGAAACCTCCCTGAATCCCCCAAACCCCCTGAATCCCCCAAACACCCCCAAACCTGTGAATCCCCAAACCCCCTGAATCCCCCAAACCCCTCTCAATCCATCCCAAACACCCCTTAAACCCCCTGAATTCCCCCAAACCCCCTCAATCCCCCAAACACCCCCAAACCCCTGTGAATCCCCCAAAGCCCCTGAATCCCCCAAGCGCCCTCCAAACCCCCTGAATCCCTCCAAACCCCCTGAATCCCCCAAACCCCTGAATCCCCCCAAACCCCTGAATCCCCCAAACCCCCGTGTCCCGCAGTCGGTGTCCCACAGGCCCAAGGAGCGCAAGTCGGTGACTCTGGAGGAGCCCCCGCCGGGGTCCCACCAGTCCAACTCGAGCGAGGACGAGGCGGGGCCGGGGCCGAGTCCCTTCGGGCCCTTCCAGGGCCGCCAGACCAGCCTGGTCTTCGAGGCCGCCAAGCAGGAGCTGGTCAAGCTCATGAAGGTCGAGGTGAGGGCTCAGAGGGGGGGTCCCCGTGTGGATTTGTGGGGGTTCTTGGCGTGTTGTGGTGGGTTCCTACTGCTGCCTGGTGGACCCCATCCCTTCGTGGTGGGCCCCTCTTGCTTTTGGGGTCGGCCTCCTGGTGGGTCCCTGTCGCCTCGTGGCAGATCTGTCGCTCCATGGTGACCCCCCATCTCTTTGGGATGGTCCCCCATCTCCTTGGGGTGGTCCCCCATCTCTTTGGGGTGGTCCCCCATCTCCTTGGGATGGTCCCTCATCTCCTTGGGATGGTCCCTCATTTCCTGGGGTGGTCCCCCCTCTCCTTGGGATGGTCCCTCATCTCCTTGGGATGGTCCCTCATCTCCTTGGGGTGGTCCCCCCTCTCCTTGGGGTGGTCCCTCATCTCCTTGGGATGGTCCCCCATCTCCTTGGGGTGGTCCCTCATCTCCTTGAGATGGTCCCCCATCTCCTTGGGGTGGTCCCCCATCTCTTTGGGATGGTTCTTTATCTCTTTGGGATGGTCCCCCATCCCCTTGGGGTGGTCCTCATCACTTTGTGGTGGTCCCCATTGCCTCATGGCGAATCTCTCGTTGCTCCTTGGTGAACCCCCCATCTCCTTGGGGTGGTCCCTGTCCCTTCTTGGTGGTCCCCTCTTGCTTTTGGGGTTGGCCTCCTGGTGGGTCCCCATTGTCTTGTGGTGGATCTCGTTGCTTCGTGGTGACCTCAAGTGGTCCCCCATCTCCTTGGGGTGGACCCCCATCTCCTTGGGGTGGTCCCCCATCTCCTTGGGGTGGTCCCCCATCTCTTTGGGATGGTCCCTCATCTCCTTGGGGTGGTCCCCCATCTCTTTGGGATGGTCCCTCATCTCCTTGGGGTGGTCTCCCATGTCCTTGGGGTGTTCCCCATCACTTTGTGGTGGTCCCCATTGCCTCGGAGTGGTCCCCTTTCTCTCTGGGGTGTCCTGCCATCACTTCCCAGTGGGTTCCTGTCTCCTCCCGGTGGTCCCTGTGGCCTCCAAGTGGTCCCTCATCTCTTTGGGGTGGCCCCCCCCTCCACTTTGTGCTGGTCCCGTTGCCTCAGGGTGGTCTCTGGTCTCCTTGGGGTGGTTCCCTGTTACTTTGTACTGGGTTCCCATCTCGTCACGATGTCCCCCCTGGCCTCCTGGTGATCCCCATCCCCTCGTGGTGGCCCCCATCCCCTCGTGGTGGCCCCCACCACCCCACAACTCTTCCCTCCAGGACCCCTCTCTCCTCAACAACCGCGTCCTGCTCCACCACGCCAAAGCCGGCACCGTCATTGCCCGCCAAGGTGACCAGGTGGGTTTCTGGGGGGGCTTCCGTGGCCCCTTGACACCCCCCCTCATATTTCCATGGGGTGCCACCCCCATGCTCCGTCCCCTGTGGGTGTTGGGGGGTGGGAACGACCCCAGAACCCCTGGAGGGTTCAAAATGCCCCGTGAGGAGAACCCACAACCCCCCTCACGGGGTGCTGGTGGGACCCCTCATCCCTGGGGGTCCCTGGTGGGTTTTGGGGGGGGTCCTGGGTGGCTCCAAGGGGTCCTGGGTGACTCTGAGGAGTCTCCAAAGCCCCAGGTGGCTCTGAGGGGGTCTCAGGTGGTTCTGAGGGGTCCCCGAAACCTCAGGTGGCTCCGAGGGGTGGCTCCAAGAGGTCCCAGGTGGCTCCCAGTGATCCTGCATGACTCCCAGTGATCCTGGGTGACTCCCAGTGATCCCAGGTGTCTCTGTGGGAACCCAGATGGCTCTGTGGGATCCAGATGGCTCCCGGTGATCCCAGGTGGCTCTGTGGGCTCCCGGGTGTCTCTGTGGGATCCCAGATAGCTCTGTGGGCTCCCGGGTGTCTCTGTGGGATCCCGGGTGGCTCTGTGGGCTCCTGGGTGGCTCTGTGGGCTCCCGGGTGGCTCTGTGGGCTCCCGGGTGGCTCTGTGGGAACCCAGATAGCTCTGTGGGCTCCCGGGTGGCTCTGTGGGCTCCCAGGTGCCTCTGTGGGAACCCAGATAGCTCTGAGGGGTCCTGGGGGGCTCTGAGGGGTCCTGGGGGGCTCTGAGGGGTCCTGGGGGGCTCTGAGGGCTCCCGGGTGCCTCTGTGGGATCCCAGACAGCTCTGTGGGCTCCCATGTGGCTCTGTGGGCTCCCGGGTGGCTCTGTGGGATCCCACATAGCTCTGTGGGCTCCCGGGTGACTCTGTGGGCTCCCGGGTGCCTCTGTGGGCTCCCGGGTGTCTCTGTGGGCTCCCGGGTGGCTCTGTGGGATCCCAGGTGTCTCTGTGGGATCCCAGGTGACTCTGTGGGATCCCAGGTGACTCTGTGGGCTCCCGGGTGTCTCTGTGGGCTCCCGGGTGGCTCTGTGGGATCCCAGGTGTCTCTGTGGGATCCCAGGTGGCTCTGTGGGCTCCCGGGTGGCTCTGTGGGCTCCCGGGTACCTCTGTGGGCTCCCGGGTGTCTCTGTGGGATCCCAGGTGTCTCTGTGGGATCCCAGGTGTCTCTGTGGGATCCCAGGTGGCTCTGTGGGATCCCAGATAGCTCTGTGGGCTCCCGGGTGTCTCTGTGGGATCCCACATAGCTCTGTGGGATCCTGGGTGTCTCTGTGGGCTCCCGGGTGACTCTCAGTGATCCCAGATGGCTCTGTGGGATCCCGGGTGTCTCTGTGGGATCCCACATAGCTCTGTGGGCTCCCGGGTGTCTCTGTGGGAACCCATATAGTTCTATGGGCTCCCAGGTGGCTCTGTGGGGACCCAGATAGCTCTGTGGGATCCCGGGTGACTCTCAGTGATCCCAGGTGGCTCTGTGGGATCCTGGGTGGCTCTGTGGGATCCCGGGTGCCTCTGTGGGATCCTGGGTGGCTCTGTGGGATCCCACATAGCTCTGTGGGCTCCCGGGTGGCTCTGTGGGATCCCAGGTGTCTTTTTGGGATCCCAGATTGCTCCCAGTGATCTCGGGTAGCTCTGTGGGATCCTGGGTGACTCTGTGGGCTCCCGGGTGTCTCTGTGGGCTCCCGGGTGGCTCCCGGGGATCCCAGATTGCTCCCAGTGATCCCAGGTGCCTCTGTGGGCTCCCGGGTGGCTCTGTGGGCTCCTGGGTGCCTCTGTGGGATCCCGGGTGTCTCTGTGGGCTCCTGGGTGACTCTGTGGGAACCCACATAGCTCTGTGGGCTCCCGGGTGCCTCTGTGGGCTCCCGGGGTGTGACGGGGCGCGCTCTGGGCAGGACGTGAGCCTGCACTTCGTGCTGTGGGGGTGCCTGCACGTGTACCAGCGCATGATCGACAAGGCGGAGGACGTGTGCCTGTTCCTGACGCAGCCCGGCGAGCTGGTGGGGCAGCTGGCCGTGCTCACCGGGGAGCCCCTCATCTTCACCATCAAGGCCAACCGCGACTGCACCTTCCTCAAGATCTCCAAGTCCGACTTCTACGAGTGAGGAAGGGGCCAAGGGGGGTGGATCTGAGGGGTCCTGGGTGCCTCTGAGGGGTTCTGGGTGGCTCTGAGGGGTCCCAGGTGGCTCTGAGGGGTCTCAGATGGCTCTGAGGGGTTCTGGGTGGCTCTGAGAGGTCCTGGGTGCCTCTGAGGGGTTCTGGGTGGCTCTGAGGGGTCCCAGGTGGCTCTGAGGGGTCTCAGATGGCTCTGAGGGGTCCCGGGTGGCTCTGAGAGGTCCTGGGTGGCTCTGAGGGGTCCCAGGTGATTCTGAGGGGTCCTGGGTGCCTCTGAGGGGTTCTGGGTGGCTCTGAGGGGTCCTGGTGGATCTGAGGGGTCCCAGGTGGCTCTGAGGGGTCCTGGGTGCCTCTGAGGGGTTCTGGGTGGATCTGAGGGGTCCCAGGTGGTTCTGAGGGGTCCTGGGTGCTTCTGAGGGGTTCTGGGTGGATCTGAGGGTCCTGGGTGGCTCTGAGGGGTTCTGGGTGGCTCTGAGGGGTCCTGGGTGGATCTGAGGGGTCCTGGGGGGCTCTGAGGGGTCCTGGGGTGGCTCTGAGGGATCCCGGGTGGCTCTGAGGGGTCCTGGGGGGCTCTGAGGGGTCTTGTTTGGCTCTGAGGGGTCCCAGGTGGCTCTGAGGGGTCCCAGATGGCTCTGAGGGGTCCCGGGTGGCTCTGAGGGGTTCTGGGTGGATCTGAGGGGTCCCAGGTGATTCTGAGGGGTCCCAGGTGATTCTGAGGGGTCCTGGGTGCCTCTGAGGGGTCCTGGGTGGCTCTGGGGGGTCCCAGGTGGTTCTGAGGAGTCCCAGATGGCTCTGAGGGGACTCAGATGGTTCTCAGGGGTGCCAGGTGGCTCTCAGGGGTCCCCAGGTCCCTCTGAGGGGTCCTGGGTGGCTCTGAGGGTCCCAGGTGGCTCTGAGGGGTCCCAAATGGCTCTAAGGGGGCCCAGATGGCTCTGAGGGGTCCCAGGGGGCTCTGAGGGGTCCAGGGTGGCTCTGAGGGGTCCCAGATGGCTCTGAAAGTCCTGGGTGGCTCTGAGGGGTCCCAGATGGCTCTGAGGGGTCTCGGGTGCCTCTGAGGGGTCCCGGGTGCCTCTGAGGGGTTCTGGGTGGATCTGAGGGGTCCTGAGTGGCTCTGAGGGGTCCCCAGGTCCCTCTGAGGGGTCCCAGGTGGCTCTGAGGGGGCCCAGATGGCTCTGAGGGGTCCTGGGTGGCTCCAGGGGGCTGCTGTGGTAGCACCATTGGGACCACTGTGGTGGCACCTTCTGGGCTGCTGTAGTGGCGCTTTCAGGGCCACTGCGGTGGCATCTTTGGGGTTGCCGTGGTGGTACTTGGGGGGCCACTGTGGTGGCATCTTTGGGACCACTGTGGTGGTGGCACCTTCAGGGCTGCTTTGGTGGCACCTTGGGGGCCACTGTGGTGGCATATTCAGGTTTCCTGTGGTGGCACCTTCAGGGCCACTGCGGTGACATCTGTGGAGCTGCTGTGGTGGCATCTTCGGGGCCGTGGCGGTGGCACCTTTGGGGTTGCTGTGGTGGCATCTTCAGGGTTGTTGTGGTGGCACCTTCAGGACCACCGCAGTGACATCTGTGGGGCTGCTGTGGTGGCACCTTGAGGACCACTGTGGTGGCACCTCCAGGGTTGCTGTGGTGGCACTTTCGAGGCTGCAGCAGTGACACCTTTGGGATTGCTGTGGTGGCATTTTCAGGGCCACTGCAGTGACATCTTTGGGATTGCTGTGGTGGCACCTTCATGGCCGTTGCGGTGTCACCTTCGTGACCGTTGTAGTGGCACCTTTGGGGTTGTTGTGGTGGCACCTTCAGGGCCACTGGAGTGACATCTTTGGGATTGCTGTGGTGGCACCTTTGGGGTTGTTGCGGTGTCACCTTCATGGCTGTTGTGGTGGCACCTTCATGGCCGTTGCGGTGTCACCTTGGTGGCCGTTGCGGTGTCACCTTGGTGGCCGCCTGGGAGCCATTTCTGGCGTGTCCCCCCCCTCCAGGATCATGCGGGAGCAGCCCAGCGTGGTGCTGAACGTGGCGCACACGGTGGCCGCCCGCATGTCCCCCTTCGTGCGCCAGATGGACTTCGCCATCGACTGGATGGCGGTGGAGGCCGGGCGGGCGCTCTACAGGTGGGTGACACCGCGGGACAACCCCCCTTTCCCTTCACCCAGACCTCCAGGGGGTCCCACTGGTGATGTCCCCCCCCTTTTCCAGGCAGGGGGACAAGTCTGACTGCACCTACATCGTGCTCAACGGGCGGCTCCGCTCGGTCATCCAGAAGGGCAGCGGCAAGAAGGAGCTGGTGGGGGAGTACGGCCGAGGGGACCTCGTGGGCGTGGTGAGCTCTGGGGCATGGTTGGGGACAACCTCTGGGCCTTGGCTTGGAGGCTTTAAGATTGGTTAAAAAAGTAGATTTTTAATTTTTTATGGATTTTTAATGAATTTGTGTGGATTTTTTTGTGAATTTTTATGAATTTTTTTGTGAATTTTTATGAATTTTTTTTTTTTAATGAATGTTTTGGGGACGCTGGCGGCTCGTGGGTGTCATTGGTTACACCCAGTCCAAAACCACCTGTACCATCGTCCCACCCTCACCACACACCCCCAGACTTGAGGGGGGGGTCCCAAAACTGCCCCCCTTTCCTCCCCCACCTTCATCATCCTCATCATCCCTGCTCTCCTTGGAAGGCCTTCAAGGCTTCCCAGGAGTTTTGACCTGGCCATATCAAGAATTGTCCCTCTGTTGTGTGGACGTTTCGCGTTTTCACCCCTGGGATGTTTTTCCCTCCTCATCGAAAGGGGAATCCCTGGCAGGGAACGTTGGGGAATCTCGTGCCCCGTGAGCTGGAAGAGCTCCCCGTGTTTTCCGGAGCGTTTGCAGCGGAGTTTTCTGGGATCTGGGGTCGGAGGGATCAGTTGTCTTGCCCTGCAGGTGGAGGCCCTGACCAGGCAGCCCCGAGCCACCACGGTGCACGCCGTGAGGGACACCGAGCTGGCCAAGCTCCCCGAGGGCACCTTGAACAACATCAAGCGCAGATACCCACAGGTACCCTCCCCTGACCCACCAGGTACCCTCCCAGACCCCAGGTACCCCTGACCCTGGTACCCCCAGATACCCCCCAGACCCCTCAGGTACCCACCCCTGACCCCCCAGGTACCCCACAGACCCCCAGGTACCCACCCTGACCCCCAGGTACCCACAGACCCCAGGTACCCCCAGACCCCCAGGTACCCACCCCTGACCCCCAGGTATACCACAGACCCCCCAGGTACTTAAGGTCCCCAAGGATTTGGGGTGGTGACACCTGAGGTCCTCAAGGATGAGGGGGTGACATCTGAGGTCCCCAAGGATTTGGGGTGGTGGCACCTGAGGTCCCCAAGGATGAGGTGGTGGCACCTGAGGTCCCCAAGGATGAGGTGGTGGCACCTGAGGTCCCCAGGAATGGGGTGGTGGCACCTGAGGTCCCCAAAGATTTGGGGTGGTGGTACCTGAGGTGCCCAAAGATTTGGGGGTAGTGGCACCTGAGGTCCCCAAGGATTTGGGGTGGTAGTACCTGAGGTCCCCAAGGATTTGGGGTGGTGGCACCTGAGGTACCCAAAGATGGGGTGGTGGCACCTGAGGTCCCCAGGAATGGGGTGGTGGCACCTGAGGTCCCCAGGAATGGAGGGTGGGTGCTGGCACCCGAACAGTCACGTGGGACGCCAGTCTGGGGTGCCAGCGATCCCCTCCCGGCTCTGACGTCCCTCCCTGTCCCCGTCCCCGTCCCCGCAGGTCGTCACCCGCCTCATCCACCTGCTGAGCCAGAAGATCCTGGGGAACCTCCAGCAGCTCCGAGCGCCCTTCACAAGTGGGTGCCACGTTAGGGGGGTGTGTGGGGACATCGGGGTGGCCTCCCCGGGGTCACCCCAGCAGGTGACAGTGCCACACCCTCCCCTGTGTCCCCACAGGCTCTGGCCTGGGAGTGACCTCCAGCTCGGAGCCCATCAACCCCACGAGCAACCTGTCGACGGTGGCGGTGCTGCCGGTGTGCGAGGAGGTGCCCACGGCCGCCTTCACACTGGAGCTGCAGCACGCGCTCACCGACGTCGGTGAGGGGCACGGGGGGCACGGGGGGCACCGGGGACGCCGGCACGGGGAGCTGCCGTGGTCTTGGGGAGGGGGTGGTGGGTGAAGATCCCGTGGTGAGGTGGGAGTTGTGGTGTGGTGACAACGGGGTGGGGCTGAGCACAGGAGGGGGGTGACCATGGGGTGGGGGTGACCACAGATTGGGGGTGACCATGGGATGGGGGTGACCACAGCGTGAGGGTGATGACAGGATGGAGGGTGACCACAGTGTGGGGGTGACCACAGTGTGGGGGTGACCACAGGATGGGGGTGACCACGGGGTGGGGGTGACCACAGGATGGGGGTGACCACGGGATGGGGGTGACCACGGGGTGGGGGTGACCATGGGGTGGGGGTGACCACAGGTTGGGGGTGACAACAGTGTGTGGGTGACCACAGGTTGGGGGTGACCACAGAATGGAGGTGACCACAGAATGGAGTTGATCACAGCATGGGAGTGACCACAGGTTGGGGGTGACCACAACCTGGAGGTGACCACAACCTCCTGTCCTGATGGTGACCATAGCCTGGGGGTGACCACAACCTCCTGTCCTGATGGTGACCACAGCCTGGAGGTGACCACAACCTCCTGGCCTGATGGTGACCACAGCCTGGGGGTGACCACAGCCCCTTGGCACGATGCCTACCATGTCACGATGACCACAGCCCCTTGGCATGGTGGTGACCACAGCATGGGGGTGACCACAACCTGGAGGTGACCACAACCTCCTGGCATGATCATGACCACAGTGTGGGGGTGACCACAGCCCCGTGCCGTGATGGTGACCGTGCCATGGTGATGGTGACCGTGTTCTGGAGATGACCACAGCCCCGTGGGCACGATGCCAACCGTGCCACGAGTGACCCCAGCCCCGTGGCACCATGGTGACCCTGTCACGGTGGCCACAGCCCCGTGGGCATGATACCAACCATGCCACGAATGACCACAGCCCCGTGGCATCATAGTGACCCTGTCACGGTGGCCACAGCCTCTTGGCATGATGGTGACCATGCCATGATGATGGTGACCACGTTCTGGAGATGACCACAGCCCCGTGGCATCGTGGTGACCGTGTCATGGTGACCACAGCCCCGTGGGCACGATGCCAACCATGCCACAAGTGACCACAGCCCCGTGGCATCATGGTGACCCTGTCATGGTGACCACAGCCCCGCGGGCATGATACCAACCATGCCACGAATGACCACAGCCCCGTGGCACCATGGTGACCCTGTCACGGTGACCACAGCCTCTTGGCATGATGGTGACCATGCCGTGATGATGGTGACCACGTTCTGGAGATGACCACAGCCCCGTGGCATCGTGGTGACCGTGTCACGGTGACCACAGCCCCGTGGGCACGATGCCAACCATGCCATGAACAACCACAGCCCTGTGGCACCATGGTGACCCTGTCACGGTGGCCACAGCCCCGTGGCACGATGCCAACCATGCCATGAACAACCACAGCCCTGTGGCACCATGGTGACCCTGTCACGGTGACCACAGCCCCGTGGCACGATGGTGGACCGCATCGTGGTGACCCCAGCCCCGTGGCACCATGGTGACCCTGTCACAGTGACCACAGCCCCGTGGCACGATGGTGGACCGCATCATGGTGACCCCAGCCCCGTGTCACGGCACTGACAATGCGTGTCCCCCCTCTCCTCCCCCCAGGCCCCACGCTGCTCCTCACCAGCGACATCATCCGCGCCCGCCTCGGCTCCTCGGCGCTGGACAGGTAACTCCCGTGGGCAGGATTATGTCCCCCCTGTGTCCTCCCACACCCCACCCCACCCCCTGGCTGACCCCCTGTGTCCCGGCAGCATCCAGGAGTACCGGCTGTCGGGCTGGCTGGCGCAGCAGGAGGACATCCACCGCATCGTCCTCTACCAGACCGACTGCACCCTCACCACCTGGACCCTGCGCTGCTTCCGCCAGGCCGACTGCATCCTCATCGTGGGGCTGGGAGACCAGGAGCCCGAGCTGGGGGAGGTCAGATGGGGGTTTGGGGTGGAATGGGATGGGCTGGGGGGGCACCGGGGGGGGCACCGGGACCGGCTCGGCAGCTGGTGGGGCCGCTCCTCGAGTGCTGTGCCCGGTTCTGGGGAGGGTGGTGAGGGGGCTGGAGCAGGTCCAGAGAAGGGAACGGAGCTGGGGAAGGGGCTGGAGCAGCAGGAGGGGCTGAGGGAGCTGTGAGGGGGCTCAACCTGGAGAAGAGGAGGCTCAGGGGGGGACCTTCTCACTCTCTGCAACTCCCTGAGAAGGGGTTGGAGCCAGGGCGGTGTCGGGCTCTGCTCCTGGCAGAAGGATGAGAGGACACGGCCTTAAACTGCACCGGGGGAGGGGTCAGGTGGGACATTGGGAAGAAGTTCTTGACGGGAAGGGTGGTTGGACACTGGAATGGGCTGCCCAGGGAGCTGGTGGAGTCCCTGGATCTCTCTGAGGAGATTCTGGAGGTGGCAGTCGGTGCCGTGGTCGGGGTGACGAGGTGAGGTTGTGTCACGACCTGATCCGACCCCGGCTTCTCCTGGCAGTTTTTGCCCGCGTTCTCCACCAAAAATGTCGTGGGTTTGCTCTTGGGTTAATCTTTCTCTTACCCTCCACGTAATTGCTAGGAGTTGAGAGAAGGTTTATGCAGACAAAAGAGATCTGATGTGGGGAGAATAATATTGGGATCACAGGTTGGAATGGATGATCCCAGAGGTTTTTTCCAACCTGGTTGATTCTGTGACTCAACAGCATGATGCTGTTAAGCCAGAATTCTTTTTGTTCCACATGGGGAGTGGTGGTGGGGGAAATTCCTCCACAAACACTCCCAGAGACAAAGCTTTCATGAGCTTTTATACACCTGGACACCCCAAACCCCTCCCCCAACAGTGAATCATCTTAATTCTTAACAAGGCATCAACATCGGTGCTTAGTTAAAGATGACCCAAACTTCTTCTACCTAAACAACCCTTGAAATAGTTCCATCTTAGCGTTACACCACAATCAATCTTTAACTGAAGGTCACCCAAACTTCTTCTCCCCAGACAATCCTAGAAATAGTTTCACCTTAGTGTTACGTCACAATCAGTCTTCAACCAAAGGTCACCCAAACTTTTTTTCCTAAACAACACTCGATTGATTTAGTTTTCTCTCCCTGAACAACCCTTTGTCGGTGGAGTTCTCGGGGGGAAGGGGGTCCAGGTCCATGTTTTGCTGCTCCCTCCAGCTCTTTGTTCCCCCAAGGACCGTCGGGGTGACGAATCCGCGGCGTCGATGCGGTAACGGCGAACCCCCCGAATTTTTGGGGTGATTCTCGGGGCGTGGCTGTGCCTGACAGTGATGTACCCCCTCCCCACAGCTGGAGCAGATGCTGGAGAACACGGCGGTGCGGGCGCTGAAGCAGCTGGTGCTGCTGCACCGCGAGGACGGGCCCAGCCCGGCGCGCACCGTCGAGTGGCTCAACATGCGCAGCTGGTGCTCGGGGCACCTGCACATCCGCTGCCCCCGCCGCGTCTTCTCCCGCCGCAGCCCCGCCAAGCTGGTGCGTCTGGGGGTGTCTGTCCCCTCCCCCTGCCCCGGGGGGGCCCTGGGGACCTGCCATGGCCATCATCAACCACTGTCCATCCCCGACCCCGACTTCCATGGTCATTGTCAGCCACTGTCCATCCCCCAACCCCAACTTCCGTGGTCATTGTCAGCCACTGTCCATCCCCCGACCCCAACTTCCATGGTCATTGTCAACCACTGTCTATCCCCCGACCCCTGACTTCCATGGTCATTGTCAGCCACTGTCCATCCCCAGCCCTGGGTGACCTTGGTGGTCTTCCTTGATCGCCACTCACTGTCCATCCCCAGCCCCAGGTGGCCTTGGTGACCTGCCATGATCACTGTCAGCCACTGTCCATCCCCAACCCTGGGTGGCCTTGGTGGTCTTCCTTGGTTGCCACTCACTGTCCATCCCCAGCCCTGGGTGGCCTTGGTGACCTGCCATGGTTGTCAACTGCTGTCCATCCCCCGACCCTGACTTCCATGGTCATTGTCAACCACTGTCTGTCCCCAACCCCGGGTGGCCCTGGTGACTTGCCATGGTCATTGTCAACCACTGTCCATCCCCAGCCCCCTGTGACCTTGGTGACCTGCCATGGTCATTGTCAACCACTGTCCATCCCCAGCCCCAGGTGACCTTGGTGATCTTTCCATGGTCACCATCACCCACTGTCCATCCCCAACCCCTGTGACCTTGGTGGTCTTCCATGGTCATCATCACCCCCTGTCCATCCCCATCCCCTGGGTGACCTCGGTGGTCTTTCCACGGCCACCACCCCCTGTCCATCCCCACCCCCTGGTGACCTCGGTGGTCTTTCCATGGTCATCATCGCTCACTGTCCATCCCCACCCCCTGGTGACCTCGGTGGTCTTTCCATGGTCATCATCACTGGGTGACCTCGGTGGTCTTTCCACGGCCACCGCCACCCACCACGTGTCCCCCCCGGCAGCGGGAGATGTACGAGAAGGTGTTTGAGAAGGAGCCCGACCGCCACAGTGACTTCTCCCGCCTGGCGCGGGTCCTCACCGGCAACACCATCGCCCTGGTGCTGGGTGGCGGCGGGGCCAGGTGGGTGCTGGGCACGGTGGAGCCCGGCAGGGTGGGGGGTCCTGGGCTCATCCATCCTGGTTTTCCTTGTCTGTCTATCTGTCTGTCTGTCCAGGGGCTGCTCCTACATTGGGGTGATGGATGCTCCCACATCAGGGATCCTCATCAGCCTGGTGGGGTGGAGGGTCCTGGGCTCATCCTTCTTGTTTTTCCATGTCCATCCATCCAGGGGCTGCTCCCACATCAGGGATCCCCCCTGATCTGGTGGGGTGGGGGGTCCTGGCTCATCCATCCTGGTTTTCCCAGTCCATCCATCCAGGGGCTGCTCCCACATCAGGGTGATGGATACTCCCACGTTAGGGATCCCCAGCCATCTGGTGGGGTGGGAGGTCCTGGGCTCATCCATCCTGGTTTTCCCAATCCATGCAGGGGCTGCTCCCACATCAGGGATCCCCCCTGATCTGATGGGGTGGGGGGTCCTGGACTCATCCCTCTTGGTTTTCCCAGTCCATCCCTGCAGGGGCTGCTCCCACATCAGGGATCCCCCCTGATCTGGTGGGGTGGGAGGTCCTGGGCTCATCCATCCTGGTTTTCCCAATCCATGCAGGGGCTGCTCCCACATCGGGGTGATCAAGGCCATGGAGGAGTCAGGGATCCCCATCGACATGGTGGGCGGCACCTCCATCGGCGCCTTCATCGGGGCTCTCTACGCCGAGGAGCGCAGCGCCGTGCGCACCATGCAGCGGGCCAGGGAGTGGGCCAAGGTGGGTGCTGGGGGGCCTCCCCCACCCTGGACAGGGCCCCCCACCCACGGCCAGCCTTGCCTGGGTTGTTTCTAAACCAGCTTCTTCCTCTCCTTCTTCTTTTCCTTCTTCTCCTCCTTCTCCTTCTTCTTCTCCTCCTCCTTCTTCTTCTGCTTCTCCTGCTTCTCCTCCTTCTCTTCCTTCTCCTCCTTCTTATTCTTCCTCTCCTCTTCCTTGTCTCCTTCTCCTCCTTTTGTCCTCTTTCTGCTTCTTGCTCCTCCACCTTCTTTTCTTCTACTGCTGCTTCTTACTCCTCCTCTTCTTTCCTTTTTCTTTCTCCTCCTCATTATTTCTTTCTCTTCCTCCTCCTTCTCTCCTTCATATTCTTCTTCATTTTCCTTTCTTCATTTATCTCCCCCTCCTCCTCTTTCCTCTTCTTCCTTCTCTTTTTCCTCTTCTTTCTTCTTCATTCATCTCCTACTTCTCCTTCTTTCCTTTTTCTTCCTCCTTCTTCCTCTTTCTCCTTCCTTCCTTCTTACTCTTCCTCATCCTCCTTCTTTCTCCTTCTTCTTTCCTTCCTCCTTGTTCTTCTCACTCCTCTCCTTCAACTTCCTCCTCCTTCTTACTCTTCCTCCTCCTCCTTCCTTTGTCTCCTTCCTCCTCTTCTTTCTTCTCTCCTTATTTTTCTTCCTCCTCCTTCTCCCTCCTCTTCCTCCTTCTCTTCTTTCTCCTCCTCCTCCTGTTCCAGTGCATGAATTCAGTCTTTGAGACCGTCCTGGACCTCACCTACCCCATCACCTCCATGTTTTCGGGCTCGGCCTTCAACGCCAGCATCAACAAGGTGTTCCAGGACAAGCAGATCGAGGTGTGTCCCTCTGCCCCCCTTCCTTCCCATCACCCACAGGGAGGGTCCAGCCCCTCGGGGACCCCTCCCCGGTGTCCCCACGGCGTCACCCACCCCGTGCTGTCCCCGCAGGACCTGTGGCTGCCCTACTTCAACGTCACCACCGACATCACGGCCTCGGCCATGCGCGTGCACACGGACGGTAAGAGCGCCCTGGGGACCCGGGGGGAGCTCTGGGGGGGCCACCCTCGTCACCAGCACCCCAAAACGGTACCAAGGGGGCAAGGACAGGGCTCAGAGGGCTCAACCCGGGCGGTGGTGGCTTCTCAGAGCCACCCGTTGTGCCCCCATGGGGGTCTGGCTGTGCCCCAGGTCCCGGGTGGGGTTGGGGGCAGAACTGGGTGGGGGTGGGGAGGCTGCACGATCCACTAACACACCCACTCACCACTAACCCCAGTAACCCACAGCCCCGGCACGTGGGGCACGGGGACACGGGGGTGGCGGGGACACCACGGCGGTGGCGGGGTCATCGTGGCGATGGGGATGGCGTGGTGGGGTCGTGGTGGTGATGGGGATGGTGTGGTGGGGTCGTGGTGGTGATGGGGATGGTGTGGTGGTGGGGATGGTTTAGTGGGTCCATGGTGGTGATGGGGATGGTGTGGTGGTGGGGATGGTGTAGTAGGTCCATGGTGGGGATGGTGTAGTAGGTCCATGGTGGTGATGGGGATGGTGTGGTGGGTCCATGGTGGCGATGGGGATGGTGTGGTGGGGTCATGGTGGCGGTGGGGATGGTGTGGTGGGTCCATGGTGGCGATGGGGATGGTGTGGTGGTGGGGATGGCGTGATGGGGTCATTATTGTGGCGATGGGGATGGTGTGGTGAGGTCATGGTGGCGATGGGGACGGTGTGGTGAGTCCGTGGTGGCAATGGGGATGGTGTGGTGGGTCCATGGTGGTGATGGGGATGGTGTGGTGGGGTCATTGTGGTGATGGGGATGGTGTGGTGGGTCCGTGGTGGCGATGGGGACGGTGATGCAGCGGCGGGGCCGTCGCGGCGGTGGCGGGGACGTTGTGGTGGCTGCCCCTCCTCCCTGCCTCGGTGGCGGAGCTCACCTGGGACATTTTGCCGTCCACGGGCCGCCCTGGTGGCCCGTCAGCAGCCTGGCTCTCGCTCTACCCGCCCCTCTAACACCCACTAATCCCCCCTCACCCCCTCTAACCCACCCAAACCACCCCCATCCCCGCTCCGATGGGGCTGCCGACGTCCCCCAGCCCCAGGCACCCGTGGGTCACCTCCCCGTGGCCGTGACCGTGTCCTCTCCGTCCCCCAGGCAGCCTCTGGCGCTACGTCCGAGCCAGTGCCTCCTATACCCCCTACCTGCCTCCGCTCTGCGACCCCAAGGACAGCCACTGGCTGGTGGACGGCTGCTATGTTAACAATGTCCCAGGTCAGCACCGCCTCGCTCGCCGGGGCCACCGGCCTCCCCTTCCAAAAAACCACCTACCCCCTTTTCCTCGTCCCAAAAACCCCACCACGTCCACCCCCCTCTAAAAAATAAAAACCCCACCACATCCACCCCCCTCCCAAAAAAAAATAAAAACCCACCACGTCCACCCCTCTAAAAATAAAAACCCCACCATGTCCACCCCCCTCTAAAAAAAAAAACCCCACCACGTCCACCCTCCTCTAAAAAAAAACCCCACCACGTCCACTCCCTCCAAAAATAAAAACCCCACCACGTCCACCCCCCTCTAAAAAAAAACCCCACCACATCCACCCCCTCCCACCTCGAGCCACTTGGACTTTGCAAAGGGCCGGTTCAGGGACGCGCCACGGGCTCCTCTGCCACCCGTGGGTGCCCTGGGGGCGCCCGTGGGGTGCAGACGGGCGGCGGGCAGGGCGAGGGGCAGCCCCCCCACCCCACCCCCACCCCACCCCGTCCTGGGTGGGGGCGCGGGGCGGGCGGCGCTGACGGCGTTTGTTCCCGCCGGCGCAGGCTCGCTCTGGCGCTACGTGCGAGCCAGCATGACCCTCTCGGGGTACCTCCCGCCCCTCTGCGACCCCAAGGACGGCAACTTGCTGATGGACGGGGGTTACATCAACAACCTGCCAGGCAAGTAGCGGCGCCGCAGCCGCCGGCGCCGCGAGCGGCGGTTCCTTCCCCCCACCCTCACCCGCCAGGTGGGATCTCCGGCACATGGATGGATGGAGGGATGGATGGAGGGATGTATGGATCGAGGTGTTGGAGTTGTTGGGACGTCCTGGCTCGGTTTGGAGGCTTCTCCACCGGGGGAGGCTTCGTTGCCGGGCGTTGGCTCAAGGAGTGTCCGTCCGTCTGTCTCTTGGGGTTCTCCATCTCAGGTGGCTTCCCAGGACATTTCCATGTTTCTTTGTGTTCAGGATGAATCCATCCACCCATCCATCCATCTTCCATCCTCTCTTGATGTTCTCCATGTTCAGATGGTTTTCCAGGGCATCTCCATGTGTTTTCACGTGCAGGATGAATCCATCCATCCATCCATCCATCTTCTGTCATCTCATGGGGTTCTCCATCTCAAGTGGCTTCCCAGGGCATCTCTGTGTGTTTTCACGTGCAGGATGAATCCATCCACCCACCCATCCATCCTCTCTTGGGGTTGTCCATCTCAGGTGGCTTCCCAGGGCACCTCCATGTGTTTTCACGTGCAGGATGAATCCATCCATCCATCCCTCCATCCATCCTCCATCATCTCTTGATGTTCTCCATGCTCAGATGGTTTTCCAGGGCATCTCCACGTTTCCTCATGTGTAGGATGAATCCATCCATCCATCTTCCATCCTCTCTTGGTGTCCTTCATGTCAGGTGCCTTCCCAGGGCTTCTCCACGTGTCTTCCCGTGCAGGATGCACCCATCCATCCTCCATCACCTCTTGATGTTCTCCACGACCAGATGGTTTTCCAGGGCATCTCCACCTTTCTTCCTGTGCAAGATGAGTCCATCCATCCATCCTCCATCACCTCTTGATGTTCTCCACGATCAGATTGCTTTCCAGGGCATCTCCATGTGCTTTCACATTCAGGATGCATCCATCCATCTTCCACCATCTCTCGGGATCCTCCCATCTCAGTTGATGTCTTCAGTGCTGATCGTCCTTCTGGGGCATCTTCATCCTCCTTCACCTGCTGGAAGAGCCACAGTCTTGTGTCACATTCTTGTGGCACCTCCTGGTGTTGGCACCAGGTGGTTTCCCGGATGATTTTCGTCCTTCCTGTCCCAAAAGGGTCCCTCCACCTTGCGCCATCCTTGGCACTGGGTGTCCTCCCGGAGCATCCTCACCCTCCTGACGTGCCCACCACCTCCTTCCACCCTTCCTCATCCTCTCCTGGTGTCCTCACCATCATCTCTTGAAGCCCTCAGCACCAGACGTCCTCCTGGAGCATCTCTGTCCTCCTTGATGTGCCAACGACCTTCCTCCATCCTTCATCATCATCATCATCATCCCTTGATGTCCTCAGCACCTGATGTCCTCCTGGAGCATCTCCACCCTTCTCCATCCTCATCCATGTGCAAGACCACCTGATGGTCTCCTGGTGTCACTGGATGTCCTCCTGGAGCATCTCCACCCTCCTTCACATGACAACAACCTTCCTCCATCCTTCATCTTCATCATCCCTTGATGTCCTCAGCACCTGATGTCCTCCTGGAGCATCTCCACCCTCCTTCACATGGGAACGACCTTCCTCCATCCTTCATCCTCATCATCATCATCCCTTGATGTCCTCAGCACCTGGAGCATCTCCATCTTTCTCCATCCTCTTCCATGAGCAAGCCCTCTCCAAACACTTGGTGGTCTCCTGGTGTCACTGGATGTCCTCCTGGAGCATCTCCACCCTCTTTCACATGGAAACGACCTTCCTCCATCCTTCATCATCATCATCCCTTGATGTCCTCAACACCTGATGTCCTCCTGGAGCATCTCCACCCTCCTTCGCATGACAACGACCTTCCTCCATCACCTCCTGATGCCCTGACCCTGGACACCCTCCAGGGCCATTCCAACCACCTTCCTTCATCACCTTGTGGTGTCCCCAACCTGGATGTCTTCCTGGGCCATTCCAAGGACCTTCCTCCATCACCTCCTGGTGTCCTGGTCCTGGACATCCTCCAGGGCCATTCCAACGACCTTCCTCCATCACCTCCTGGTGTCCTCACCCTGGACATCCTCCTGGACCATTCCAAGGACCTTCCTCCGTCACCTCCTGATGTCCTCACCCTGGACATCCTCCTGGATCATTCCAAGGACCTTCCTTCATCACCTCCTGGTGTCCTCACCCTGGACATCCTCCTGGATCATTCCAAGGACCTTCCTCCATCACCTCCTGATGCCCTGACCCTGGACATCCTCCTGGATCATTCCAAGGACCTTCCTCCATCACCTCCTGGTGTCCTGACCCTGGACATCCTCCTGGATCATTCCAAGGACCTTCCTCCATCACCACCTGGTGTCCTCACCCTGGATGTGCTCCCAGGCCATTCCAACAACCTTCCTTCATCACCTTGTGGTGTCCCCAACCTGGATGTCTTCCTGGACCATTCCAAGGACCTTCCTCCATCACCACCTGGTGCCCTGACCCCAGATCTCCTCCGGGGTCGCCTCCATCCTCCACGTCCCCCCACCGAAGCTGCCGCTTGCCTGTGCCCCCCACCCCGTCCCTCCCTCACCTCCCCGAGGTCCCCCCCTTGCTCTGACACCCACAGAACCCATCCCCACCCCCCTCCTCACATCCCTTGTGCCACCACCACCCTCCCCAGGGGGCTCAGAGTGGGGGGACACCCCTCTGATGGCCCGGCTCGGTGTCCCCTTCCCCCGACAGCCGACATCGCGCGCAACATGGGGGCCAAGACGGTGATCGCCATCGACGTGGGCAGCCAGGACGAGACCGACCTGTGCAACTACGGGGACAGCCTGTCTGGGTGGTGGCTGCTCTGGAAGCGCCTCAACCCCTGGGCTGAGAAGGTCAAGGTGGGTCCTGCCAGGGGGGGCTGAGTTGGGTGGGAGAAGGTCCCGTTGAAGAAGTTGGAGAAAGTTGGAGAAAGTTGAGTCACGAGGTGCAGGAGGGACCCCCTGAGACCCCCAACCCCTCAGGGTTCCGAAATCCTTCTGAGAGGAGCGTGGGGGGTGGTTGGATCCGCTCTCAGACCCCGGGCCTGTCGATGGTTTGGGTCTAAGGGAGATGCAGAGGTCGAACCTCGGTCCTGTGGCATCGACAGGGGGTGAATTGGGGGCGTTTCCCGTGAAAATGGGGGGTGGTTGTTGAGAGTTATGGGAGGAAAGGTCCTTGTCGGGGTTATTTGTTACAGGGGAGGGGAGAGAAAGCTGCTGGGATGGGATGGGGTGGGGTAGGAATGATGGAATGGGGAAGACGGGATGGGATTGGGAAGATGGGATGGATGGGATTGGGAAGATGGGATGGGATGGGAATGATGGAATGGGGAAGATGGGATGGGATTGGGAAGATGGGATGGATGGGATGGGGAAGATGGGATGGGATGGGATGGGAATGATGGAATGGGGAAGACAGGATGGGATTGGGAAGATGGGATGGGATGGGGAAAATGGGATGGGATGGGATTGGGAAGATGGGATGGGATGGGATGGGGAAGATGGGATGGGATTGGGAAGATGGGATAGGATGGGGAAAATGGGATGGGATTGGGAAGATGGGATGGGATTGGGAAGATGGGATGGGATTGGGAAGATGGGATGGGATGGGGAAGATGGGATGGGATGGGATGGGGAAGATGGGATGGGATGGATGGGATGGGATGGATGGGATGGGATGGGATGGGGAAGATGGGATAGGATAGGAAGGGATGGGGATGGGGTGGGATGGGATGGGAATGATGGAATGGGGAAGATGGGATGAGATTGGGAAGATGGGATGGATGGGATAGGATAGGATATAGGACAGGATAGGATAGGACAGGACAGGACAGGACAGGACAGTAGAAGGTGGGACAGGAGGGGATGGAGATGTCAAAAGAACCCATGGCAGGATTTTGGGGTGCCCAGGGTGGGGTTTGGTCTCCATGACCCTCGTAGGCCCCTTCCAACTCAAGAAATTCCACAATTTCAGAGCTCAGGGAGCCTTTGGACGAGATTCTCAGGCGCAGGGTGGCATTTTGGGGCATCCTGGGCAGGGATTGGGATCTCCATGACCCTTTCCAACTCCCATTCCATCGTCCTGTCCACGAGTCCCCCATCCCTCACCCCACCCGCTGAGAGCTTCGTAAACGCGGCGCTTCCCGATTCCTCGGCCGCATTCCGGGGCGGATCGGGGACACTGGGGACACTGGGGACACTGGGGACACTGGGGACACTGGGGACACTGGGGACGGTGGGCACACTGGGGACACTGGGGACACTGGGGACACTGGGGACGGTGGGCACAGCGTGAGGGTGCCCCTGAAAGAGGAAGGGTTAATCAAAACACTTTTACTGTAAACCCATAAGAGCCCCCCTTACCCCCTGTACTTCATTTACTGTAACCTGTAAGGCTGTGTCCTGTACTAAGAGCATCAGACCTTAAAGGAACCACAACAAACACCAGACAAAGAACTCAACACACATCAATCTCATCCAGAGGAACCAAGGTAGACATTGGAATAGGTAAAGTAGGCCTACAGCCAAGGGTTTCTTGAAGCTTGAACGATTAGAACACGAGAACAATGGAAAGAACAGAAGGTCATGGATGTCACCCGAGGAAGACGAGTAAAATGCAGACCCCAGGATGAAGGCAGGCAGGAACTCCCACCAAAATATTCCTCAAAATAGAGACCACGCCTCAATCTCCGCCCCGACTCCACCTGCTATGAATATTGTAATCTAATGATGCAATAATAGGAATATGCATATTATTATGTTGTAATCATGATTAGAAACTGTATAAATTACTTGTTTTTACTGAACCACTTCGGAGCTTTTTTTTGTCCAGCCTGAGCTGGAAGCCACCCCGGCGTCGTCAATCATTCAATAAATCCCTGCTGTTCATAGGCTCAAAATTCTGCCTTTAAGCAGTTTTTTTTTAAAAGCTGCCTTTTTTTTTGGGCATCACCCCCCAGGTGCCCGACATGGCCGAGATCCAGTCCCGCCTGGCCTACGTGTCGTGCGTGAGGCAGCTGGAGGTGGTGAAGTCGAGCTCGTACTGCGAGTACATCCGCCCGCCCATCGACCGCTTCAAGACCATGGACTTCGGCAAGTTCGACGAGATCTACGTGAGCTGGGGGGGATCTGGGGGAAAGGGGGGGAAAGAGGGGCCTGGAGGGGCACGGGGTGGGGGTCCCCAAACCGTGGGTCGGGGTTCTGAAGATCTCAGTGGGGGTGTCCCACCCGTCAGTGGGGTGTCCAGACCATCAGTGGGGTGTCCCACCCATCAGTTGGGGTGTCCAGACCATCAGCTGGGGTGTCCCACCCATGAGTGGGGTGTCCCACCCCTCAGTGGGGTGTCCTTGGCCATCATTTGGGGTGTCCAGACCATGAGATGGAGTGTCCTACCCATCAGTGTGGTGTCCCACCCATCAGTGGGGTGTCCCACCCATCAGTGGGGTGTCCTTGGCCATCCTTTGGGATATCCCACCCATCCTTTGGGGTGTCCCACCCATCCTTTGGGATATCCCACCCATCAGTGGGGTGTCCCACCCATCAATGGGATGTCCCACCCATCACTGGGATATCCCACCCATCCCTGGGATGTCCAGCCCCCCCCTGGCAGTGCCCCAGCCCCTGTGGCCGGGGTGTTCCGTGGCCACGGACGGGCGGCTGTGCCCGCAGGACGTGGGGTACCAGCACGGCAGGGTGGTGTTCGAGGCCTGGCGCCAGGGGGACGTCATCGACAAGATGGTCCGGGACCGGCGCTCGGCCGACTTCTACGAGAGCAAGCGCATGGATGTGAGGGGGGGACACCTGGGGGTGGGGGACTCCCTGGGGTTGGGGGACTCCTGAGGGTGAAGGGGACACTCTGAGGGTGGGGACACTCTGGGGGTGAAGGGGACACTCTGGGGGTGGGGGGACACTCTGGGGGTGAAGGGACACTCTGAGGGTGGGGGGACACTCTGGGGTGGGGGGACACTCTGGGGGTGGGGGGACTTCCTGAGGGTGGGGGGACACTCTGGGGGTGGGGGGACACTCTGGGTGTTGGGGGACACTCTGGGGGTGAAGGGACACTCTGAGGGTGGGGGACACTGTGAGGGTGGGGGACACTGTGAGGGTGGGGGGACACTCTAAGGGTGGGGACACTCTGAGGGTGGGGGACACTCTGAGGGTGGGGGACACTCTGGGGGTGGGGGGACACTCTGGGGTGGGGGGACACTCTGAGGGTGGAGGGACACCTGAGGGTGGGGGACACTCTGGGGGTGGGGGGACATTCTGGGGTGGGGGGACACTCTGGGGGTGGGGAGGACACCTGGGGGGGTGGGGGGACTCCTGGGAGTGGGGGGACACTGAGGGTGGAGGGACACTCTGGGGTGGGGGACACTCTGGGGGTGGGGGACACTCTGGGGGTGGGGGGACTTCCTGAGGGGTGGGGGGACACTCTGGGGGTGGGGGAGACACTCTGGGTGTTGGGGGACACTCTGGGGGTGAAGGGGACACTCTGAGGGTGGGGGACACTCTGGGGGTGAAGGGGACACTCTGAGGGGTGGGGGACACTCTCAGGGTGGGGGGACACTCTGGGGGTGGGGGGACATTCTGGGGTGGGGGACACTCTGGGGGTGGGGGGGGACTCCCTGGGGGCCTGGGATGGGATGGGATGGGATGGGATGGGATGGATGGGATGGGATGGGAGGGGATGGGGTGGGATGGGATGGGATGGGAGGGGATGGGATGGGATGGGAGGGGATGGGATGGGATGGATGGGATGGGATGGGAGGGGATGGGAGTGGGATGGGAGTGGGATGGGAGGGGATGGGATGGGATGGGAGGGGATGGGATGGGATTGATGGGATGGGATGGGATGGGATTGATGGGAGGGGATGGGATGGGATTGATGGGATGGATGGGATTGATGGGATGGGATGGGATGGGATGGGATGGGATGGGGCACCTTCATCTTGAGAGGTTTTCACCCCCCTGGAGCCATTTCGGGAGCAGCACCTTCCCCTCGTCCCTCATCCCTTGTCCTTGTCCCCTCTGTGTCCCTTCATGTCCTCCTGGGGTGGTTTGTCCCCCCCCAGTGTCCTCCTGTCCCTCAGCACCATCTTCCTGTCCCCCCACCCTGCTGTGTCCTCTTGTCCCCTTGGTCCTCCTTTTGTCCCCTTTGTCCCTCCTGCTGTGTCCTCCTGTCCCCTTGGTCCTCCTTTTGTCCCCTTGGTCCCTCCTTTTGTCCCCTTGGTCCCTCCTCCTGTCCCCTTGGTCCCTCCTTTTGTCCCCTTGGTCCTCCTCCTGTCCCCTTGGTCCCTCCTTTTGTCCCCTTGGTCCCTCCTCCTGTCTCTTTGTTCCCTCCTTTTGTCCCCTTGGTCCCTCCTTTTGTCCCCTTGGTCCTCCTTTTGTGCCCTTGGTCCTCCTTTTGTCCCCTTGGTCCTCCTCCTGTCCCCTTGGTCCCTCCTCCTGTCCCCTTGGTCCCTCCTTTTGTCCCCTTGGTCCTTCCTTTTGTCCCCTTGGTCCTCCTTTTGTCCCCTTGGTCCCTCCTTTTGTCCCCTTGGTCCCTCCTCCTGTCCCCTTGGTCCTTTTGTCCCCTTGGTCCCTGCTGCTGTCCCTGTCACCCTGGTGACCCCCATCTCCTGTCCCTTTGTCCCATCCTGTCCCCTCCACCATCCTCGTGTCCCCTCCTTGGTCCCTCCTTTTTGTCCCCTCGGTGCATTGACCGTCCCCACTCACCCAGTCCATCCTCCCTGTCCCCTCCTTTAGGCCGTGCTTGGCCTTTCCCTGGTCCATCATCTGTCCCCTCTTTGGGTCCATCTCCTGCCCCTCCTTGGCCCCTCCTGTCCCCCCCTCCTGTCCCTTTGTCCCTTTGTTCCACCTCCTGTCCTGTTTTTGTCCATCTCTCCTTTCCATCCTCCATCCCTCTCATCCCTCTCCCCGTGCCCTCCCCGTCCTCCCACCCCTTTTCCCACCCCACATCCCTCCTCCTGTCCCCTCCATCCTCATCTCTGGGGGGTTTTTCCTCCTCCCTGGGGGGTTTTTCCTCCTCCCTGGAGTTGGTTTCCTCCTCCCTGGGGTTGGTTTCTTCATCCCTGGGGGGTTTTTCCTCATCCCTGGGGGGGATTCCACATCCCTGGGGGGATTTTCCTCATCCTTGAGGGGGTTTCCTCATCCCTGGGGGGATTTTCCTCATCCCTGGGCGAGTTTTCCTCATCCCTGGGGTTGGTTTCCTCCTCCCTGGGGTTGGTTTCCTCATCCCTGAGGAGTTTTCCCCATCCCTAGGAGGGATTTTCCTCATCCCTGGGGTGGTTTCCTCATCCCTGGGGTGGTTTCCTCATCCCTGGGGTGGTTTCATCATCCCTGGGGGGTTTTTCCTCATCCCTGGGGGGTTTTTCCTCCTCCCTGGGGGGGTTTTCCTCATCCCTGGGGGGATTTTCCTCATCCCTGGGGTTGGTTTCCTCATCCCTGAGGAGTTTTCCTCATCCCTGGGGAGGTTTCCTCATCCCTTGGGGGGTTTTCCTCCTCCCTGGGGTTGTTTTCCTTATCCCTGGGGGGTTTTCCTCATCCCTGGGGGGATTTTCCTCCTCCCTGGGGGGTTTTTCCTCCTCCCTGGGGTTGGTTTCCTCATCCCTGAGGAGTTTTCCTCCTCCCCAGGGGAATTCCTCATCCCTGGGGGGTTTTTCCTCATCCCTGGGGGGTTTTTCCTCATCCCTGGAGGGTTTTTCCTCATCCCTGCGGGGGTTTTTCCTCATCCCTGGGTGGTCTCCTCATCCTTGGGGGGGGTTTCCCTCATCCCTGGTGGATTTTCCTCACCCTGGGGGTGCTTTTTCCTCCCTCCCTGGCAGGTTCTCACCTGTCCCAGCGCCGGCTTCACCGACCTGGCCGAGATCGTGTCTCGCATCGAGCCGGCCAAGCCCTGCCTGTCCGACGGCTACGGCGACGGTGAGAGGGGTTGGGGAGGGTCTGGAGGGGGCAGATTTGGGGCTGGGGGCTCACCCTGCACCCCTTTTTTTGCCCCCCCCTCCCAGAGGAGTCCGACTGCCTGACGGAGGACGAGGGGCCCGAGTCGGGCCGGGGCGAGGAGGACGCGTTCGCCGCCTCGGAGTGGGCCGGGAACGGCGCCCTGGAGGCTGTGAGTGACCTCGGGGACACCCCCAGACTGAGGGTTGGGGGTCCTAAGGGTGTCCTGACCCTGGGTAGGGGGGTTTGGGGTCATGGAGACCCCTCCAGAATGGGGTCGGGGACGGCCCAGACCCCGCGTTTGCTCCGTGTCCCCCAGCCCAGTGTCCCCAACATGTCCCTGTGGTCTCAGGGACCCCCTACCCCCCCCATGCTGTGTGCCCCCTCCCCATGTCCCCAAAGTGTCCCCAACATGTCTCCATCATGTCCCAAACATGTCCCTGAGGGCTCAGGGACCCTGCTCCCCATTGGCCGTGGGCCCCTCCCCATGTCCCCAACATGTCCCCATCATGTCCCCATCATGTCCCCCCATGTCCCTGAGGGCTCAGGGACCCTCTACCCCATTTGCTGTGGGCCCCTCCCCGTGTCCCCAACATGTCCCCCCATGTTCCTATGGTCTCAGGGACCCTTGCCCCCCCATTGGCCGTGTGCCCCTCCCCATGTCCCCCCGTGTCCTCCCCATGTCCCTGTGGTCTCAGGGACCCCCTATCCCCCATTTGCCGTGTGCCTCCTCCTGCGTCCCCAGAGTGTCCCCCATGTCCCTGTGGTCTCAGGGACCCCCTGCCCCCATTTGCCGTGTGCCCCTCTCCCATGTCCCCAAAGTGTCTCCAACATGTCCCCCATGTCCCTGTGGCCTCGGGGGTCCTCCACTACTCCCCCATTTGCTGTGTGTCCCTCCCATGTCCCCAATGTGTCCCCCCATGTCCCTGTGGTCTCAGGGACCCTGCCCCCATTTGCTGTGTGCCCTTCCCCATGTCCCCAACATGTGCCCCCCATGTCCCTGTGGCCTCGGGGTCCTCCCACTACCCCCATTGGCCGTGTGCCCTCCCATGTCCCCAGAGTGTCCCCCATGTCCCTGTGGTCTCAGGGACCCCCTGCCCCCATTGACCGTGGGCCCCTCCCCATGTCCCCAGTGTGTCCCCCATGTCCTGTGGTCTCAGAGACCCCTCTACCCCCATTTGCCATGTGCCCCCTCCCATGTCCCCAACATGTCCCTGTGGTCTCAAGAGACCCCCTACTCCCATTTGCCATGTGCCCCCTTCCGTGTCCCCCCATGTCCCTGTGGTCTCAGGGACCCCCCCATTTGCTGTGTGCCCCCTCCCCATGTCCCCAACATGTCCCCATGTCCCTGGTGGCCTCAGGGACCCCTACCCCCCCATTTGCTGTGTGCCCCCCGTGTCCCCCCCATGTCCCTGTGGTCTCAGGGCCCCCCTACCCCCATTTGCCGTGTGCCCCTCCCCATGTCCCCAGAGTGTCCCCCCCCATGTCCCTGTGGTCTCAGGGACCCTTGCCCCCATTGGCTGTGTGCCCCCGTGTCCCCCCATGTCCCTGTGGTCTCGGGGTCCTTCCCCTACCCCCATTTGCTGTGTGCCCCTCCCCATGTCCCCAAAGTGTCCCCCATGTCCCTGTGGTCTCAGGGACCCCTTGCCCATTTGCTGTGTGCCCCTCCCCATGTCCCCAAAGTGTCCCCAAAGTGTCCCCAACATGTCCCCAACGTGTCCCCAGGAGGAGGAGAGGACCCTTCGGCACCGCCGAGCCGCGGCAGGACCCCCCGACCCTCTGCGGATCCCCGACGGTTTCTGAAGGACCCTCACGGCTCTACCTCCTCCAAAACCGCCCCAGGTGCTCCACCCCCAAACCTCCCCCATCCCAAAAAAAGCCCTTCTGGCACTTCCCGGCTCCTCCTGTCACCCCTCCCCAGGGGTGACACGAGGAGAAGGTGTGGGACCCCATTGCCCTCCCCACCTTGCACTGTTGCACTGGCCCGAAATCCCCCCATCCCAAATTGGGGAGGGGCAGCGACTACTGTAAATGTTCATTTTCTTTTGGTTGATTTTATCCTTTTTTTTTTTTTTTTAATTATTATTATTATTATTATTTAAACTGAGGCTGGCTGTAAATTTTATTAATTCATTCGTATTAATATGATTAATTAATTAAAATTTAAGAAGGTGGTGGTCGTCCTGTGGGGGCCAGAGGGGTGGCACTGCTCATGGGCAGGTGGGATTGGGAACAGGGATTGGGAATGGGGTGGGATTAGGGAACAGGGGTGGGATTGGGAAATGGGGTGGGATTGGGACTGGGGGTGGGAGTAGGAATGGGATGGGATTGGAAACAGGGATTGGGAACAGGGTGGGATTGGGAACAGGGTGGGATTGGGAATGGGGTGAGATCTGAGATGGGGTGGGATTTGGAACGGGTGGGATTGGAACAGGGGTGGGGTTGGGAATGGGGTGGGATTGGGAATGGGGTAGATTGGGAACGGGGTTGGATCTGGAATGAGGTGGGATTGGGAACGGAGTGGTATTTGGAACAGGGTGGGATTGGAACAGGGTGGGGTTGGGAACAGGGTGGGGTTGGGAGACAGGTGGATCTGGAATGAGGTGGGATTGGGAATGGGGTGGTATTTGGAATGGGTGGGATTGGAACAGGGGTGGGGTTGGGAATGGGGTGGGATTGGGAACAGGGTGGGATTGGAACAGGGATTGGGAATGGGGTGGGATTGGGAATGGGGTGGATGTCCGGGGGCTGAAACTGGGGGAATTCGTGTCCAGGGGAGGTCCAGGGGGTGTCCAGAGGGGCTCGGGAGGGGATCTGGGTCTGGGCCCAGGTCCAGGGAGGTCCAGGGGCCAGGTCTGTGTCCAGGGAGGTCCAGGGGCCAGGTCTGTGTCCAGGGAGGTCCAGGGGCCAGGTCTGTGTCCAGGGGGTGTCCAGGGGCCAGGTCTGTGTCAGGGGGTGTCCAGGGGCCAGGTCTGTGTCCGGGGGTGTCCAGGGGGCGTCCAGGGGTGTCCAGGGGTGTCCAGGGGCGTCCAGGGGTGTCCAGGGGGTGTCCAGGGGCCAGGCTCTGTGTCCGGGGTGTCTAAGGGCGCCCAGGGGTGTCTAGGGGGTGTCCAGGGGTGCCCAGGGGGTGTCAGGGGGTGTCTAGGGGCCAGGTCTGTGTCCGGGGGTGTCAGGGGCGCCATGGGTGTGTCCAGGGGTGTCTAGGGGGCGTCCAGGGGGTGTCTAGGGGGTGTCTAGGGGCGTCCAGGGGGTGTCCAGGGGTGTCAGGGCCAGGTCTGTGTCCAGGGTGTCCCAGGGGCCAGGTCTGTGTCTGGGAGTGTCTAGGGTGTCCAGGGGCCCCTAGGGGGCTCTAGGGATGGGGGTCTGTGTGGGGCTGTGGCCGGAGGTGGCCGGGCCTGGGGGTGCTGATGACGTCTGGCTCTTCCTGCCCGGGGGGAGGCTGGGATGGGACAGGCACATGGGACACCGCGGGGACAGGGGACACCACAACAGCACCGTGGGGACACTCCGCGGGGACAGGGACACCACAACAGCACCGTGGGGACAGGGACACCACAACAGCACTGTGGGGACACCCTGGGCATGGGGACACCCTGGGGACAGGGACACCAATGACACGGCCATGGGGACACCCCGGGGACAGGGACACCACAACAGCACCGGTGGGGACAGGGACACCACAACAGCACT